GGGGCTGCGGCCTCCCCACGGCGTTCAGCTGCGCGTCTCCCTTCCCTCCCTGCTGCCTGCCTTCAGCCCCGTCCCTGTGCCGTGGGGAGGCCAGGCTTGCCCGCGGGCTCGGATCACCGCCGGAGCGCGGGCGGCGCGGGCTGGTCTCCCCCTCACCCCGTCCCCTGTCCCGCGGCCCCGGGATTCGGCCCTCGAGCCCCTTCTGGGCTTGTGCTGCTCCGGCTGCGGTTCTAGCGGTGTAAGGGCCGGTGTGGGCCGGGCCTCGAGCGGGGCTGCGGGCGCCTTGCTGGCCTTTCCTAGCGGGTCACGCTGGGAAGCGGCCGCGGCTCAAGCCGGCCGAGCAGCGGGCCCGGCTGCGGAGCTCACTCGAGTCTTCCTTCAGAGATGTGAAAACTGACAATAGCAAAAGCTTACTTCGATTTTGGAGACAGTTAGACTTAGAAGCTGCCCCTCTGATCCATTAGTTATTCTCACAGTGGTCCCGTGTCATAAATGGAGCGTTTCTGTGGGCATTCTTTCTAAGTTGTGTGGTTACTGCATGCAGCCTGTGGAATCTCTCAACATTGTAGTAACAATATTACTGGAGCGGAGGCTTATTTTGCAAGTTGTTTTGGGCTTTTTTTTTGTGAAGCTTTAATGGTAGTTGGAATTTGCTGAGGTCCTGGAAGTATAGGTGTAGTACTTTTTTCTAGTTAACTCAGTTCAAATATAAAATTTCTCAAGACAGTGTGCACGGTTCTCTGCTTCTAAATTGGTAGCATGAAGTTGCCAGTCTGTTATCTAAATCCTTGTGCTTCAGAGTCTTTGCTCAGTTAATGAATCGGTCTTAGTTTTGTGTGGCACTTTCATCCCAAAGGCACTCTTTTTGGTCATTCATTTTAAGTTGTTAGATGGCTTCTCTACACTTTTTACCAATGCTCGATTGTCAGTAAAAGCTTATTATTTGAACTTGCATTACCATCTGTGGACTTCTTAAATACCATATTATGATCTGGAGTCACTGTGTCTCGTTTTCACCACCGAAAATTGTATGTTGTATCCATGGTACATCGTGGAGAACTTTCCGTTTTTCACTGAAGAAATACCGCGGAGATCTGTTCTGAATGCGCTTTAAAAATTGGGATAAGAATGCAGAGCTGTGAAATTCAGAAATACTACAGATTAAATACATCGTGAAGTAGCAGGGCAGTGGATTTGATTTTTCAAGACAAGAAGGTCCTATAAGAAAATTCTGCCCATGAATTCTCCATGCTTTTTGGCATTGCCGTCACATCTGTTGAGAAGATACGTTTAAAAGTGTACTGGGTCTGGCTGGGATGGAGTTAATTTTCTTCACAGCAGCCTGTAAGGTTCTGTGTTTTGGATTTGTGATGTTTTGGCAGTGGGTGAACGGTGCTTGCAGAGTGTCAAGACTTTATCTTTTTTCCCCATTCTGTCACCCCAGTGAGTGTGCTGGGAGTAGGCAAGAACTTGGGAGGGGACACAGCCAGGACAGCTGACCCAAACTGTCTAAAGGGATGTTCCATGATCATCGTGCTCAGCAACAAAAACTGAGGTAGAGGAAGAAGGAGGTTTTTGTTGAGGGGGATTTTTTTTTTGGCTTCCAAGGTGGTTGTTATTCAGAGGCAGGCTGGACATTGGTCAGCCTGTGGGAGGTGTCTTTGTCTTGGCCATAAGTTCTCTTGACTTTATTCTTTGTATTTTCTTTCCCATCTTGCTGGTGGGGATGAGGAGTGAACAATCAGATGTGTGGATGTTTAGCTGCTGGCAGGAATCAACCCACCACGGAAATACAGAGAACAGATGGTCTTTATTTGAGTTACTAAATAGATAGGGGTTTTTTCAGTTTGTTGTGTCTACAAAGTGCTGATGTGGAAGTGAAGTAGAATCTGTTAGTTACAGAATTTGGTCTGTCCTCTTGTTTTGCTAAGCTCAGGTGGAATGTTAGTTTCTGTTACCAGTAGACAGATTGGCATCAGGATCTAGTGCTTTAAGCTTGTTACTGAGCAAAGGGTTTGTACAAGGGATATTCTCAAACACTTGCCATTGGAGCTTTGGGATCTTGTTTTTTTAAAGGAGTCATTTGCTACAGAAGCTGGTGTTCTGAGAGTACTATGTTGTGGTACTGTGTGATGTTCGTGTTGAAAATCAAGGTATTTTTAAGTCAGTGTATTAAAGTGATTCATGTTCTTAGGTTTGAAGGGCAGTAAAGATACAGGGAAAACACTGGAGTTTGTTTTGTAAATTGAAGAACTCCCTGAAGTTTCTCCTTGTTGGATATTTTTGCTCTTGAATTGTCTTCACTGTGTATGTTAAGTGCAGTGCTTGACTACTGAGAGCATAGTGTTGTGAACTTTGAAAGCAGGTGGAATTCAGAAGAATGGACACATCCTGTAATCTTGAGATGGACTTCAAGGACTCAAAAAAGACTGAATCAAGAGTCTTTTCATTTGATACAGTGTCAGTCTGTTTCATTTCAACAGTTCAGTGTGGCACAATTGATGACCAAGTTATCTCATCGTGTTTACATCATTCCCCGAAATCAACTTAAATTTTGAATTTCTTTTGCATCTAAAATGGAAACATAACGATGCAGTGCATGGCATCCTGGAACACGGAAGAAGTATCCCCGATTGTGGGTTCATTACATGCTTGGCTTTAATATTAGCCACTTCTATGGATGAGCTGCAGCAGTGTAGCACAGTATGTAAAGCAAAGTACAGGTATCAGCCATTAATTATGTTTCATTTTCTTTCCACAGTTAAGTTGATTTTACAGAATTTATCAGGTCTTCAAAGCAGAAACAGGTAAGCTGCCAAAAGCTTAACACTTCTGAGTATTGTGACAAGATCGTACATGGCCTTTCTGTCTCAGACAGCTGGGAACTAGGATTTGCTCTCCTGAGTGCATGTGGCTGCTGCAGTTGTTACTTTGACTACGTGAAAGAGACAACATTTTTGAACGCTGAGAAAACTTACGTTATTGAACAGAACTGATCATTGGGTAGAGCAACTTGTCAAAGCAGTAAAGGCATCACTGTTGGTGAATTACTTCATTTTCCAGTGACGTAGTTATCTTTTTTCCTTTGTCATCTAGTATTTTCTGTGTTGTGATTACAAGTGTCCTGTTAAAAAGTAAATAGGATTTTTTTTTTTTTCTGGTGTTCCTTAGGACTGGGTAGAGATCTCTGGCATACAGTAACTGCTGTGAAATACTTTAGTTGTTTTTTAGGTATTATGGATGGTGAGGAGTGACTTAGGTGGATTTTGTTGCCTTTAGGATAGGGAATATTGATAGTCTTGTGCACATGTGCTGGTGGAGTAGCTAACTGTTCTGACTAATCAACTTTCAGTGAATCTTGTTTTAATCTTGTTCTTGTGAACTAGTGGGTTTTTTGATACCTTCTCTCTTGATTTAGACGAGGCCATTCATTAAAAAGGCTCTAGCTTCTTAAGTGTTAAGATACTGTAATAGCTGAGTACTAAAGACGTGCTATCATGTGTACCTTTTTGTCTGCAGGTGATTTTTGCTGTGGGTTGAGCTCAGCATGGCTGTAGTCATCCGTTTACAGGGGCTTCCTGTTGTTGCGGGTCCTGCAGATATTCGTCGTTTCTTCTTGGGATTGAATATTCCTGATGGAGGTGTGCATATTATTGGAGGAGAGATTGGGGAGGCTTTTATTATATTTGCAACAGATGAAGATGCACGGCGTGCCATGAGCTGTTCGGGAGGGTTTATCAAGGACTCGCGCATCGAGCTCTTCCTCAGCAGCAAGGCAGAAATGCAGAATACCATAGAAATGAGCCGGAAACGGTTTGACCGTGGGGGACGAGAAACTCTGTCTGGCTCTAGAAGAACGGGTACTAACGGTTCTGGAGCCCCAGGTGTTGGGGACATTCCACATTTAGTAACGCCTTTTCCAAAAGGAATAAGTAAACCTGGTTACGGTCCACCAAATCACCCGGAGGCTGGTTTCCATACTAATGGCACAAGACATGGTGATATAGGTATGCCTAAACCGAGCTATCAGTCAAGAAAGGATTCTCTTCCATTTAATCCAGATGACCTTTACTTATTTCTACGTGGTATTCCTTACTCTGCAACAGAAGATGAAGTGCGTGCTTTCCTTTCGGGGATACATGTGGATGGAGTGATTCTGATAAAGCATCGCAATGGTTTAAACAATGGTAACTGCTTGGTAAAATTTGCTACTCCTGGTGATGCCTTAGAAGGACTTAAACGTCATAGGCAATACATGGGTCAGAGATTTATAGAAATAAGCCCATCTACAGAAGAACGGTGGATTGAATATGGTGGGAGAGTAGACATGCCAAATGAAATGGATGACTTTTTGTGTGAAGACCACTCTCCAAGAAGTTCAGACTACATGCATTTCAGGAAGCATTCTCATTCAAGATCACCAAGGAGACAAAGAACACGTTCTCGTTCACCTCCCAGCCAGGAATATTACATACACTTAAGAAATTTATCTACAAATCTGGAGAAGAGAGATTTGAAAGAATTTTTTTTTGGTCTGGATATATGCAGCAAACAAATAAAGCTTCTAACAGATAAGCATCAGAGGAGGACTAGAGAGGCCTTTGTGATGTTAAGGAGTGAGAGAGATTATCAGGCTGCTTTGGAATGTCATAGAAAGGTTCTACTCAATCGTTCGGTTTACGTGTTTCCAATTTCAAAAAAGTCGATGTTGAAAATAATTGATTCTTGTGAGAGGAGGAGATCACAGGACAGAGAACATCTTGGACAGGCCCTATCAGAAAAAAGTTATCGGGAAAGCCATTCTGGCCCCAAGACGTGTGTTTATGTAAGGAATTTTCCATTTGATGTGTCAAAAATTGAAGTGCAAAAGTTCTTTGCAAGATTTGATGTTGACGAAGATGATATTTACTTGCTCTATGATGACAAAGGAGTTGGGCTGGGAGAAGCATTAGTGAAGTTTAAATCTGAAGAACAAGCCATGAAAGCAGAAAACTTAAATCGTCGAAGATTCTTGGGAACGGAGGTATTAATAAGACTTATATCTGAAGAGCAGATGCAGAAGTTTGGTGTAACAGTACCATTGTCCCCACCAAGTGAAATGCAGGGTCATTCACATCAGTATGACAGAGGTGAGCTTTCCTGTCCAGTCGGTTCACCATCTGGGCCACCACAAGGGCCACCCATGCATTCATTTGGTCCCCCTGGGAACTTCAGGCATCCTTCTGAATTTAGGCACCCACCTGAGGAATTCATGTGCCCTCCAAAGGATTTCAGAGGTCCGCCACCACTCCTGGATTTTGGTGGTGACAGTGAACATTTTGGCAGAATGGAGTTTGGGAATAATAAAATGGGAAATTTTCCTGAAGGAAGATTTATGCCAGATCCAAATTTCAGTGGTGGTTCTGAACGTGTTGTTCCTATTAGATTGAAAAATTTACCTTTTAAAGCTACTCCTAATGAGATTCTGGATTTTTTCTATGGCTACAGAGTCATACCAGAGTCAGTTTCTGTTCAGTATAATGAACAAGGATTACCTTCAGGTGATGCCATCGTTGCTATGACAAACTATGAGGAAGCTATGGCTGCTATTAATGAACTGAATGACAGGCCAATTGGTTCACGGAAAGTTAAGTTGAGCTTACTGTAAAGGAGGATAAGATGCTCTAGAGAAAAACATTCTAGATTTGACAGTATTGACAATTATTTTAACTCTTAACTGGAAGATGCAGAAGAAACTGTTTCCATCAACGGTTGTAAATAATACCTAGTTCAGTTGTTTAGACCTCAGTTGAAATATTTTGTATGGTTAAGATGTGAGAACTGTATTGTGCCTACTTCTTGTGGCAGAGAAGAGCCCAGAAATCCTGGAGGACATTGAATGTCTAACATCAAAGTATAAAGACGTGGAGTTGTAATGCTTTGGGGTTTTTTTTAGTTTGCTCTAATTCCACGTCCCACAACTTTGCATCAAAAATGTAAGTGCTGGTTGACTGACCACACAAACGGTTCAAATAGAAAAGCTTCAGTGCTACCTGCATTAGTAAATAACATTTCTTACTGAGGTTAGCTTAATAAAATTTTAAAAATACTGATTTTTTTATTTGTGTGTAAACTGTTCAGGTTTTCCTCGGTTTCATGTGGTTGCAGGCATTGCTATTAAAAGAAAAAAGAGCCTTCTGTTCACAGTAGCTGGCTTTGCAACTTTTTAAAAATAAAAATGAAATTGCCATTAAATGTGTGTCTTACATTTAGATGTTACATAGATAATGATCTCAACTATTATGCTCAACATATATGGTTCTTGGTGAGAAAGGTCATTGAATCATAGAATACTTTGGGCAGGAAGGAACCTTAGACATTATCTAGTTCCAACCCATTCTGCCATGGGCAGGGACACCTCCCACTAGCCCAGATTGCTCCAAGCCCCATCCAGCCTGGCCTTGAACACTGCCAGGGAGGGGGCATCCACAACTTCTCTGGGCAACCTGTTCCACTAGCTCATCACTGGCACAGTAAATAATTTTTTCCTAATATCTAATGCTGGCTGCTTCCTCCAGAAATGGTGAACTGTTACTGTTTGTCATCACAGAGAGTTTCCAAGGACCACAAAATCTGTATTAATCAGTTGGACAGGCTTTTTTTCATCACAGTAGTACCCTGAGGCACAAAATGAACCTTGGAATTAGATCAAGAATTCTGACTTCAGCCTGCACTTTCAGAGTGGTCTTTCTTTTATCTCCACATGTGTGTAATATTAACTTGCTAATGATGCCTGGGTGCATTCCAGGTCAATCTCTAATTAGTTCTAACTAACATATGTCACTGACAACCAACTGTTATTTTCTTACTTAAGAAATTAAGTGCTTTTGTCAGTATTCAGAAGGTTTGATTGGTTTGGTACCAGCATATTTATATTTTAGAAAGAAATGAAAGCTAGCCTGTTTGAGGAAAAACTGCATCTTCAGTATTCAGGCTTGGTAAGAAACTTTGGTTGTGTGGATAAGAATTGGTACCTTTGTTGACTTTGCAGTTGTCCAGGATAGTACTTTGAGTACTCAGGAATATTACAAAGTTTTAGTCCCCCTAAAGACAACTAAATTGCAAAACTTCTTTACTCTGGTGATATAAAAAAAATCCTAGGTTCATAGAGTTTTTGAGGTTCAAAGGGACCTAGACGTCTGTAGTCCAATCTACTTATTGAAGCAGCAGCAACTAGAGCAGGTTATACAAGGCCTTGTCTGTTGGATTTTGAATAGCTAAGGATAGAGATTCCACAGCATTTCTGAGCAGCCTGTTTTGGTGAGTTATTACCCTCACTGGTGGTCAAACCTTAATTACTTTGTTTATGTAAACTCATAAAAATTACTTAAATTCAATGTAGAAGTAGAAGCAAAATCAAGAAATCTTTTTGTTCTGTAATTTAAAAAATGCTAGTATAGCTTTATTTCTTCTGCATATTATTTGTCCTCTGTTTAAACTGCTAGGAAAAAATAATTTTGAATGAGAATGATAATGCCAGGGCTGTATATGTAGATACCTCTGAGCAAAGAAACTTAAAAGTGGCCAAATCTTCAAATTCTGAACACTTACATACTGGGTTTTTTTTGCTGTCTGGTAGAAATTAGCTTCAGAAGCATACTGTTCTGAACCTTTCTCAGAATTTAAGTGCAGTTAAACCCCCAAAATTTGGTGCTTTTATTTCACAGCTACTAAAGAGATCAGGGAGGCAGAACAGTTTGCTGGGAAAATAAAGATGTGTTACGAGAATCCTCAAACTTTTCTAATCATGCTGTTGAAAAATTTGTGATTATTTTTGTAAGCTAACATTTTTACTAATTTTTGCATCTCTACTATCAGCTGTTTTGTAAACATGAATGCAACTAACTTCTCAATCAGCTTTGGCAATTTATTTGTTTTAAAGTTCTTCTGTCACACAGCAGGGGGTTTCAATAACTGACAATACACTGGTAATTTTTTTCCCATGCTTCTAGAGTAATATTGGTACACACATTAATACTTGTAATGAAAAAGATTTGGGGGCTGGAAACATAGGGGAGTTTTGTAGGTTTTCTTGACAGTTAAATGTGAGACAATCTTTTAGAAAATGCATTATCTGTTCTTAAGAAAGTTTGGGTAATTATGCCATTTATTTTTTTGGATGGTAAATTCCACCTCCCCCCGTGAATACATAAAAAGAGTCATAAAGCTTATAATGGCAGAGGTCATAATTAAAACATTTACAAATATTTCATGTTTGCCCTATAGCTGATTTGCCTTTAATTTAAAACCAGACTAGAGTTGATGATTTCTCTACGTTAATCTGAAATATGCAATTGATAAGCCAAAATAGCGGTTTTTTTAAAAGGTCTATAAAGATGAAAGCTGTACTTCAAAGTATGCACAGGTGATCTGAAGGAGAGGGAAAGTGGGAATGGTTGCCAGTACCTCAGTTAAATGATGTTAAAAGGACAGTTGGTTCTTAGTTTGTAGCTGTACCTCGCTAATTGTTTTGGCTGGTCTTTTTGGGTTTTCACCCCCCGGCTGGAAATGTGCACATGTATATATATATATAGGCATTGTATTCTGATTCTGCCAGAATAGGTGGTACAGGTGTGTGCTGTGGTGGTGACAACATTTCTTGATAATAAAGGTTTTAGAAGTGCATATTTCATGGTTTGGAGGCACAGTACTTTTGGTATAAAGGAGACATCAGGGATAGTCTAAAATGATATGGCTTGAATTGCTTTGCTTCCTTTTTAAGTACCATCTATATAGTAAAAGAATAACAAAGGAAATACTGCAGTATGTGCTGTTGATACAGAATCTAACTACTTTCCGTAGTTATGCTTACCCTGAGGTTGCTTTTGCTACCATTGTCCAAAAAATATGATTTAAAGGAGAAAAGCCTCTTGTCATCAAAATTTAGTACTAATGATTATGTTGCTAAATTTAGTAATAGTGATTAGAAGGAGCCTGAAGCATTCAGGAAAGCTGCAACATTTGATGGGTACAAGACAGAAGTATCTTTAGGTAATATTTAATTCTTTAATTGGATTCTGAATTATTCTTTTGGCTTTAAAATACATTTATCAGTGACTTTTTATAGTTTTAAAGTCACACAATTTCTATCCAACATGCAAACTTAAGACATCATATATGGAGGACAAAGTTGCCCAACACTGTATTTCTCCTTTCTGTGTGTTTTTCTTTAACTCCTGAAATTGACATTTTGTGAGGTAGGGGAGAGGGAAATTGAAGCTGCTGAGGATAAAAAAATTCTAGCTACTAATGTTTTAGTGGGGATTAAACTACACATTGCTTCCTTTTTTATTCAGAATTCCTTTTTCAAGGCATAGTACACAAGTAATTGCTTTTTGCATATATCTGTTGTACAAAAAACTTGAAGTTAACCGTTTTGGATTACATGATTCCACTGAATATAAAATGAAAAAGTGATCATAATTTTGATGTTGTGATACAAATACTTATTGATGTGCCCTAATAGCTAAAATAGATAGGAATTAGTTACCTAGTTTTGGTCACTGGAGTTCTACTCTTTGTCATGAGTAGTTCAATGTCAATACTACACAATTCTGGTGTAAAACTCTTCTGGGTTTAAAACAGAGCCCTATATTGTGACATGTTAACTTACATTTTTATCACATTCATTTTTGGGAAAAGCTGCACTGCACTGCACACTTTGCTTCAGCAGACAAAGGCAGCATCAGTATTAAAAATGCACTTCCTGGTTTATTTTCCATAACTAGAAGAATATTTGGTTATAACTTCAGTGTGTTTTTCCAGTTACAAGTTTAAATTCTAAATATATATATATGTGTTCTTTCTGTATGTAGCAGATCTTAAAGCTGGAAATGAGTATGGCAGCAGCTTTCTGGCAGACAATTTGACACTATTCAAAAATGAATATGCATAACCACCATCTGCACTCAAAATGTGTAATTTCTTGTATGTTTGATGGAACAGTAACTGCATCAACCAGTTGAAAACAAAACTTGAGCTACATATTATAGCATGTCAACTAATAAAGTATCAACTAGCTTTATTATGAAGGCACTTTTATTTAAAAGCAAAGCAGCATTGAAAGTAGATAACAGGCTGGGTCTTAATTGCTAATGTTCATTCTCTATGTGTAAAGGAATAAAAAATAATCTTAGTCAAGCCTGAGGAAAAGAAGAATGAGAAAACTGCCTCACTGCCTCCGGCCATCCAAGGTGGGTAATGAAATTAACATGGTTGTTGCTGTAATTGGGCTCTTAAATACTACAGTTACTTCAGGATGTATAAAACCAATAATAACAGGTATAGGTAGAAGACTTAATAGATGCAATGCATATATAGCTACAGAATAAGATAATATATTGGCAAAGTAACGAGCAAACTCTTATGTTCATTACTGCATGTCAGCTTAGTGCAGTTTGTGGACACTTCATCCAGTAAATCTAAGCAAATGTGACTGCAATGTAACATCTATGCAAATACAATACATTTTATTTAAATATTTCATTTTCTGACTGCTGAAATAGACCATTTTCAACAGATTTTGCTCCATTCTTTGAAATTGGTAATTTGTTTCTGGCACTCTACTATTAGTGCAAATTTTTGCTTCTATTGGAATTTTAAAAATACAACCTAAGTGAACTTTTTATTAATACACAAATGCCTTTACATAAAAGGAAATATTTTTTTTTCCCAATTAAACTCAGAATAGTTTTGTTATCTCACTTCCTGTATAGCTTCTAATTCCTCTTCCTCTTCCTCTTCCTCATCTTCCTCCTCCTCCTCATCATCTTCTTTTCTTAGCATACTGCTGGAAATCTGCCAAGACAAAAATCCAATAAAAGTAAATCAAGTGTTTCTCCTCCTCAAAGAAAAAGAATTTTTGTTGGCATTTCCAGTCTAAGTTCTTGGAGGTTTTTAGTGTGGTGAAGGAGAAGTTTTTTATCCTGTAACTCTTAAACTTCAAGTAACATCCACAATGCCAACAGAAAGACAAATGGCACTGAATACAGCAATTTTTAAATTCTAAAAAAATCCTAGTTTTTTTAGCAGAACTATTACAGGGTAGGGAAAATTGCATTGACCAAATCAATGTTAAGAATGTTTTTCTGGGTTGGCTGTTGTGATATCAGGCTGAAGATGAGTATTCAGGCATAATCTTAAAGACATCAGACATCTTCAGTTAAATGAAAAACTCCACACTGTGCTGCTCTGTTTTTGAGAATGGACAAATTTTACTAGAAAAGTCTTGATCCATACATGAAGTCCTTTCCCTGCCCATCAGCGCTTGCACTTCAGATAATACTGAAGTCCTTTTTTTGGTTCATAAAATGTTAAAAACCAGTGCCAGCTGCCAAGTTTTCCTCCCATTTGACAGATTCTAACATCTAGACATTTTTTCTAATTGGAGCTCAATCTAATTCCTGTTAAGATGCAGAAGATGCAGCATTTACAATTTCAAGTAGATGTATTTTTTTTTTCTTTCCCT